GGGGTATGACGTAACGCCGTGCGGCTATGGCACCAGAGCCGCGCCCGCGCGCGCGACGACGACGAGCGACGAGCGACACTGCCGCCTTTGGCGCGCTCCGCGCGCCAGGGAGGATATGAGATATGAGATACAAAAGAGACGCAGTGTCCCTCCAACCACCCTACGAACACTCTGGAGGTCCCACATTGGAGCCCTCGCCCGCGCTCTCAGGGGGTCCTTCGTTGGGGCCCTCAGGAGCCGCTCCGACGCCTGACTGGACAATCAGGGAGGCATCCTTGGCCCCCTTTGGCAGACCCGCGTAGCTCGGGACCCTACCCTGCTTGATTCTCGTGAGATTATGCTGCCCCCTCTTGGTGGGGCAGCGGCACGGCACGGCCAGCCCAACAAACTTCAGGGTGGCCGTCGATCCGCATACATTGCAAAAAAACAGACTGTGCTCCTGCCAGAGAAACAGCTCATGAGACGGGTGGACCGCTTCGTTCTCAAGGATCGAAAACGAATTGCACTTGACAGTGCAGCTCGGGACGCCCACCCCACCGCCCACCCTAGGCGTAGGGAGGGGGTAGCAAGAAGACTCGGCCGCTTCCTCGATCCTGGACCCAGGAACCAAAAGGCGGCACGCAGCGCACAGCCAGCAACCACCTTGAACGGAGGTCCAGGTGTGCTGGCTGGCTGCCAAGGCTCGGGTGAGCTTTGGCTGAGGAGCGGCCCGAGTCTTCGGAGGCCTGCAGGCCTCCCAAGCGTCAACCTCGAGCGTGTCAATCAGGGCCAGACAATAATACTCCACAATGGTCAAACAAAAATTCAAAAAATAGTCCCCAGACTATTTTTCCCATCCATCCTGTGGTGTTGGGTCCTCGTTTTGAAGAGACGGTCCCCGCGTTCTCCTCCTCTCGAAACCCCCCCTCCTCCCTACCGTCCGCATGCGTCCCGCACACCCAGTACAGCGTTTCGTGGCCCCATAGGGAGCCCCACCGAAAGTCCCAGTGCTACCGTCCGCATGCGTCCCGCACACTCAGTACAGCGTTCCGTGGCCCCATAAGGAGCTCCACCGAAGGTCCCAGTGCTACCGTCCGCATGCGTCCCGCACACACAGTACAGTGTTTCGTGGCCCTCCTCCCCCTCCTCCCTGCGTTTCACACACCCAGTACAGCTTTTCGTGACCCCATAGGGAGCCCCACCGAAGGTCCCATTGCTACCGTCCGCATGCGTCCCGCACACCCAGTACAGCGCTTCGTGGCCCCATAGGGAGCTCCACCGAAGGTCCCAATGCTACCGTCCGCATGCGTCCCGCACACCCTGTGCAGCGTTTCGTGGCCCTCCTCCCCCGACTCCCTGCGTTTCACCCACCCAATACAGCGTTTCGTGGCCCCATAGGGAGCCCCACCGAAAGTCCCAGTGCTACCGTCCGCATGCGTCCCGCACACCCAGTACAGCGCTTCGTGGCCCCATAGGGAGCCCCACCGGAGGTCCCAGCGCTACCGTCCGCATGCGTTCCGCACACCCAGTACAGCGTTTCGTGGCCCTCCTCCCCCTCCTCCCTGCGTTTCACCCACCCAGTACAACGTTTCGTGGCCCCGTAGGGAGCTCCACCGAAGGCCCCAATGCCCCCGTCCACATGCGTCCCGGACGCCCAATTTGGTATTTTCACCCATCCAGTGCAGCGCTTCGTGGCCCCATAGGGGGCTCCACCCAAGGCCCCAGTGCCACCGTCCATATGCGTCCGGGAAATGTAATTTGACATTTTCACCCGCGCAGTGCAGCGTTTCGTGGCCCCATAAAGGGGTTCCACCGAAGCCCCCCGTGGGACCGTCCGCATGCGTCTCGGTAACCCAATTTGGCATTTTCACTCACTCAGTAGAGCGCTTCGTGGCCCCATAGGAAGCTCCACCGAACCCTCAGACGAACCGTCCGCATGCGTCCCGGAAACCCAAGTCGGCACACCACCCACACAGTACACCGTTCCCCCCCGCCCAGTGCAGCGCTCCGTGGCCCCATGGGGAGCTTCACCGAAGCAGATATTCACAATTACGGTACCCACAACTGCACATGGTTGGGACCTTCGCCAGGATCATTTCACTATTTTTGAAGATTCCTCCTGTAGAGGGACGGGCCCGACTTTAACACTTCACTGAGATCCAATGTGCCCCCCAAAAAATTGCAGCACCGCGGCAAATCACGCCCGACGCCCCAGACCCCATCTCCCCGCGCCGTTCCTCGAGCCGGCTCCATCTGCGAGGGCCCCGGGGCCCGCAACACGAGGCGAACAACAGCGACCGGCTCGACAACATTGATTTGAAAGGGCCCCAGGACACACAAATAAATACACACAAATAAAAATATCCACCATATTTTCCAAGATGTTCTGGGTTTCTGTCTTCCCCCCCACTTCCCATATGTTCCCATATTTTCTGGGAATCGCCGATTGATTGTGTCTGTGTGTTTCTTTCCCTCCTGAATTGATTGCGGAATGAAAAAAGGCCCCTACCCTGGGTTGCAAGTGCGTGGTCAGTGAACCTCCTGGGAACTCCCACCGGCCAGAGAGCCGCCGGGACGCCGCGCGGCACGAACGACACGCAGGGCTTGCCCCGTCAGCCCACTGACTGCAGGTTCAGCGCGCAGCGCCTCCCAAACCAGGGGCGTTCTTTACGCCCTTGAGCTTGCCGTCGCTCGGACGTCCATTTCCCGTGCATGTCTCGGTTCCGTGCGTGTTTTTTCTTGCTCGATGGTCCAGGATGGTCCTCGATGGTCCTCGCCGAGATTAAAATGCACACGTCTGAACGATGCCGAATGAATTGACAACAGGGGATGCGTCGACCCCTATCCCAGGCTCCGTGAGGTTTTCGAGAGGATCAACAATTTGGGGCCCAACCCTGGGATATACGAGGGGGGGGCGTCAATCCTCGACAGGGGTGCGTCCGAATAGCTCCCTCGGGATGTATCCCAAGATTCCTCCCCTTTTCTGAGCGACCAAACTTTTCTGGCGGAAGTCGGGGATTGGGGGAGAGAAACCGCCTGCGAATTGACACGCCACAACACCCCGAGGCCCCACGCACCACGAAGCACCCGGCCACTGTTTCCGAGCGGCTCGCCGCCTACTCCCCCGGCCGGCCCCAGGGCCGACCGCGCCGCCGCCGCCGCCCGCCGGGCCGTCTGGGCCGACGGCGGCCCCCTCACGCCTCGGCCGCGGGCCCTCCGCCGCGGGCGCCCTCGGCGCCCTCCCCGCTCCACGACCGGAGGACGCCGGCGACGCCGGCGACGCTCTCGACGGTCGCGTCGGCCGCCTCCCTCGACGCCTCGGGGGCGCCCAGGGACCGGGCCGGGCGAAAGGGGGGGATCTAATAGCAGAGGGGGGGGGGTGAGCATCAGCTCGCGTGGCTGATGTTCCTGGCGCCTCCCGGCGCCGGGAGGCGCCCATGTATCGAGGACTGGGCCCCCCCGGTGGGGCCGAAACCAGCTGCATGCAGCAGATTTCGAAACCGCCCTTTTCCCAATCCCCCCCTTTCGTCCGGCCCGAAAGGGTCGGGAGACGTAAGACTCGGGTGCGGGGGACTCGGGTTGGCCTGACGGGGCCATCAAAAAAATGACGAGACCCAATCTGAAATTTGACGCGAGCCCCCGCTGCAAACATCCCTCGAAAACTGGACCGTCAAAATCCAGGACGCGCTCGTCAAAAAACGTCAGCAAACCCGAGTTCCGGCTTACTCGACTCTAACGTTTCTCGGAAAGGACATACTCGCACTGAAATGGGGTCCAGGCCAGAGCAACACCCCTCAAGCCCAGGGGTCCCTCTGTCGGCCAAAGCCAACAGCAAACAGAAACTATCTCCGAGGGTGCCCTCCCCAGGATGCACAAGGACAAACCGACAGACAGACAGGCCCGCACTCCAGCCCCTTGGGGGCGGTCCTCTAAGAGGGCAGGCGTGCGGGACACGCGGGCCCCCGCATTGGGAGAGACTGGATTGTCGCTGCATTAACAAATTTGGGATGAGCGTAAGAGAAAAACAGCTCGCCGCATATAACATGCACTAAAGCTCCAGATTTCCGCCAGCACGCGGCGGGCAAATCGCACCCCCCCTGGCTAGAAACGACGGCGCGCGCGAGACCCTATCGGCCACGCGGCGGGGACTACAAACGGCCCACCACCTCGTCGCTCAGGAACCACCAAGCTCAGAAACTACGACGTCGCAAACCCACCCTCTAACTCATTCCACAGATCGTGTGAAGGCGCACAACTTTGCCACGAAGTGTCAATACCTTGCGTGTACATGTACTCGCGGACGTCGTCATCCCAGCGTCTCTTCGGTCTGCCGGTCGCACGACGCGCTCATGTGCAGTCATCGCCTGATCCCAATACATCACTTGCGAAGCCCAGTGGGCCGCGGGCCGCATCCATGCCTGCCACTCGGAAAGCCCATCGCCACTTGCGTCTCCTCTGCTGGTGTACCCATGGCTCCAGATGGGCTGCTTGTAGGTGATCCTCTGTTGCCCTCGTCGCCCTTCGGATGAAATTGGCCCAAAGCTCCAGACGCGTGCATTCCAGAACCCCCGATCATGCAGAATCCTGCTCCGGCTCTGGGTTGCTGTCCACGCCGGCACAATCATCCTCAGCATGAACCACGCCATCCGCTTGCATTGCTTTACGCTTTGCCCCCAACATATGCTCGAGCATCCTCCGTTGTACACATGTGTCATGGCGCTCCAAGTCGCGGGCCATTAGGCCACGCTTCGCTTCCGTGCAGTCGCTTCGGCGCCACCGTGCTGTTTGGCAATCGGATTCGATCCCTGAGGGGAAAAGATCTGCTGGTCAACTCTTGCTTATGTAAGCCATATGCTGCCCACGCTTTCCAGATTATGTCGTTGAGCTCGCATTCGGAGGGCATGTCGCAAGATACGAGACGCCCTAAGTATGTGGCAGTTGATGTCCTTGGAACAATTTCGACTTCCAGGCCAATGACACGCGCCGAGCCCGCCGCTTGTCGCTCAGACTTCTTGCTCGCATTTGTCAATAGTTTTGTCTTGCCAGGGTGTGAAGATAAGCCCGCGTACGCGATGGATCTCTGGATGTCGGACAGCATCTGCTTGATTCGATGCAGCGTGGGTGCCACGGCGAGCGCATTATCTGCGAAACGCAAATTTGTGAGCCTGTTTTTGTTCGGCGGGTCCAGTCGCAAACCATAGCGTTTCCCATGCCGTACTTGTTTGGCATGGCCTGAGACAGTGTTCAAGCAAAGCGTTGAATAACAAAGAAGATGATTGATCACCCTGCTCAGTCCCGCGCTGTAAATTGAATCCGTCTCTGAACACGTCTGCCCGCGCGCGCCCGCGTTGATCCGCGCGCAGAGATCGAAACGGGGAGCGACGCAACCTCGAAGCGCTTCCCACAGAGAACCGTGTTCAACCGCATCGAACGCCCCCTTGAACTCCAGTGCGCAATGCTATACGACGCGTTGAAATCCGTCGGCCTTCTCCAGAATATATGACAAAGTGAATATATGATCGATTGTTGAAAACCCTTTCCTGAATCCAGCTTGGTCGCGCGAATGCTCGGGCCCCAGGTGCTTGTCCATCCTTCGGTAAAGAATGCGAGTAATCAATGTGTATAGAGCCGGCATTGTACAAATAGGTCTATGGTTGGATGGCTGCGCGGGGCCCCCGTCCTTGAACAATAATTTCACGACTGCAGGTTCCCACCGCGTTGGAGTCGGAGCCCCGGGCTTGATGATGGCACTGTGCATGTCCAACGCAGCGCGTCGTACTGCTTCGCCTCCAAATTTCAACATTTCTGCCGCAATGCCCATCGCGTATGGCGCCTTACCTGTTCTAAGGTGTGCCGGGGCCTCTTCGAGTTCATCGTAGGTGAACGGTGGAATATATCCAACTGTGAATGTATTATGTTCTGCTCGTTCAGAACGTCCGCGTGCAATTGCATGGAGATCCGCGCGAAAATCAGAACATGCGCTAACTATGTCTTCGCGACCCGTGCATTCCATCCTTTTTGCGTCGACCATCTTGACAATCGCAGTTCGCATCCTCCTCGTCTTTGTCGCCTTGGTGTCTTTTCAGCCCTGCGAACGTGATCAAGATGTGTTCGAAGCGACGTCTGCGAGTCTTATCTTTGATAGCCTTCACTTCGGTGCGAATGTGCTGCCTGAGCTGCGCGCGCTTACTGCCGTTGCTGCGCGGTGTCTCTCGCCGCGCTCGCGTCAGACGTTGAAGCCCAGCGTCCTCGTCGGGAACCTGCGGTGGCGAAGTGCTCGATTATTCGGCGAACGTCCCCTGGGCGTGCATCAGAGCAATGTCAACCTGAGCGTTGTAGTCGCCAATGGTCGCGCACTCCGTTACCCCAACAATCTTTTTCAACGTGTTCGGCGGCGCGTCGTGCAAACCCATCCTTGTAGCATGAAGTTGCCCGGCTGTGTCTCCGACCATTACTAATTTATTTGCGCGCTGCTCTCAAGGATAATCTCACTGTCACTTGCATGTGTTTGTGGTCTGATCCTAGGTCTGGCAAGTCGGTGGAGCCAGAGTTGGTCGCGTACCTGCGTATGTTCTTGCCGATGAATATGAAATCGATATGTCGCGGCTGTCCTTTACGCAAATAATTCGCGGTTCTTTTGGGCGGGGGCTTAGAAGAAGAAGGCGCTCGCGATGCTGAGGTCGCACTGCCCGCGCCATTGCTAGAGCCGCTGTCCACGCCAAGCTTCTGCGCCGAATCCGCGATGCCCGATTGCGCTGCCGTCGCCGTCCGCAATCCTGCTTCCCACCCGAGCGTTGAAATCTTCACCGAGCATAAATGTGCATCTTTTCTTGAGTTTCCCACTTTATCGCCGAAAGTGCTGTGTGCATCTTCTGGACTTCCGAATCCTTTATGTGCAATCAGGAAAATAAGCAACCGCAGCCCGAAGATCGCGTGAAGCGCACTTGACGTCAACATATGCAATGTTTCATTGACTGGCACGAAATCCAGTAGCTTGCATGAGGCGTATATTATTATAGCAACGCCGTTATTTCCATCTGGTGCTTCCAGCTGACCATCCAAATACGTGGCCCCCGTCTCGTAAAAAAAACTCGGATGTTTGCTCCCTCCAAATCTCTGTAGGCAGCATGACATCCCACTTCATGGATTCAACTTCTGCCATCGACTCCCCAATGCACTCGTCACAACTAAGGCCTCTGACGTTGAATGAGATGACGTCTATGTTGCGGTGCTCGCTGGGCGGAGTCGGTGAGGCAGGAGCTGGTGGAGAGGGAATCGAAGAAGAATTTGTTGAAGTAGCTCCTGGGGGTCGGAGAAGGCTGGTTCCTCCGGGAGTTGCTCGAAAACCAAAGCGCCTGAACCGGAAAATCCCCATCGGCATGCTCATACTCTCCTTTGCCGCCACCCCTGCGGGGAGCTGACGGCAAAGCATTACCAATCAAATTCATAGGTGAAACACTGCTGGGTGTCAGGGTTTGGTTTGCGGTCCCCTCGGAGTGCCGTCGATATGTCACTCGCTGTCTGTGGCTGGGTCGGGGTTGATTTGTGCCATCCACTTTGCCATGGATGCTTTGACATATTTTTCAACAGACTTCCCCACCGACGTAGTCTGCCACACCCCGTCCTCATTGAACCATGCAACTTTTCTCCCCCTCACTGCAATCAAATAGCTGCCCCACCAAATCTCCACCTCCTCCTCCTTGTACTTGGAGCCAGGGTTGTGGACGAGGTGGTGTCTAGTGTATCCCAAAGACCTTTCTCTCTCCCGCTCCTCCATCGTCGAATTGTGTTTAAAAAGCTTGTCTCCGATAAGTTGTCTGTTCTTGGGGTCCTGCACGTTCTTGTAAAACTTGACCTTGCCCTTCCTGCTCTGGAATGTGATGATACCCTTTTTGGATGGATTCGTTGGGGCATCAACCTTTACTCCAGAAGCCTCCCCAAGTAAATATTTGAGTGTACCTTCGATCTCTTGGATGATGTCATCCGCGTCCCGGCGCTCAGTGAAGCCCAGCGCAAGTACCTGGTAGGATCGTTCTGATCGGTACTGTTTCCTGCGTGTGTTGATTTAACCCAAGCTGCATGTACTTTCAGATTTTCGTTTTCTTGTTCTTTGAACTTGTGTTCTATGAGGTCCTCGATTTCTTTTTTAGTCAAATACGTTTCCTCAAGGTCGTTCCTGATACCCTCCACGTCCATCTCCACCTCCTCCCCTGAACCTTCTCTGCTGTCTTTCATTCCGTTCAAGTCAGTCGTAATGCCTTCGAGTTGCTTCGGCAATCGGGCATCGGCATCGGAATCGAAACAAGTACCCCATCTCCTGACCCTATGGCTGAATCGATTGCCGAATTTGCTCCACCGTCGAGCTCCTCCTCTATTTTCTTCTTCTGCTTCTCTGGCGTTGAATCTGTGTGGCCACCGAGACGTTTGCCTTTCTCCTTATCCGGCATACCTGAACAGAATGGCGCGAACAGCGTCAGAGAAATTGGGAGTGTAGTAAAGGTAAGTTTGTAGGGCAAGTTGAGTATTGCGATGCTGGTGATGGCAGCTTGAGCATCCTGATTCCTTGAGCCTTGCGCCAAAATGGCTCCTTGAGCTTGAGCCTTGAGCCTGATTCCTTCAGCCTCCTGATTCCTCGCGGATGCACAAGGGCATCCGCAAACACGAAGAACATTGGGGTGCCCACCCCGAAACACCCTCGCCTCATACCTCGGTCCCACTGTACGTGTCCTCCTCAGAGGCGTGCGTCCGACCCATGCGTATAGTGACTACCTACCAGACCACCCCAACCCAGCCCGAAGACCCGAATTTGACCCGAATTTCGGGTTGGGGGGGTACGGATTCCATGTGCTTTTCCAACGTTCCCCGACCCCCCCCCACTGGAAATGAAGGCAAATCGAGGGCTTCGGGTTGGGTTGGGGTGGTTTGGTGGGTAGTGATATTAGTACAACCATCTTGTCGGCAGTGGACAAACCTTCCTTTAGTAAACCTCCACTTCGTGAAAACGGCCTGGGACCGAAACCGACGGACCTGGACCCGCAAAATGCCGGCCGCGACGACCTCTCGCGAACCGGAAACGGCCAATTCCTGAATCGACGTGTCAGGGTAGGAGGTCTTGTGGGGCGGAAAGATACGGATACGTGTTGTCCCCGGACCTCTCTTGGGGTGCGTTCTGACCAGAATTTCGAGGCGAATCCAGCGGTGACAACGAGGATTCCCCAGGAGGACCAGGAAAGGCCGAAAACGACGGGGGACAACACGTATCCGTATCTTTTTCTCCCCCGAGGAGGTCTGTCCACCCCCGATCTTGTAGCGACTGCATCGTTGCCCGAACGGCACGGCCAGACAGCACCCGCCACGGAGCACCTCTGCTCTACAAAAGCCCTCGGAGCGCGCGCGCCGCCCCCTTGCGCGGGGAGGCGCGCACACAGAGCTGGCACGCTTGGTCCTTGCCGTCGCTCGGACGTCCACTTCCCGTGCATTTTTCGGTTTCGTGCGTGCTTTTGGTTGCTCGATGGTCCAGGATGGTCCTCGATGGTTCTCGCCGAGAAAAAAAAATGCACACGTCCGCGCGATGCCAAGGTGACGCACAGCCTCCGCCGTCAGCGCGACGCCGCTGCTCGAGAGGTCGTGCGCGGAGCCGGCGACGCCGTCCCGGGGCGGCACCACCCAGATGGCGCGCCAGCCTGCCGCCTTGGCGCCCATGACGTCCTCTCCGATGTCAAGACGAAACCATCGGGGATGGACAGACCCCCCTTTAGTAAAACGTGGTTTAGTGAAAACGACCTGAGGCCCAAACCTGGCGGTCGCAAGCCTGGAAAATAACGGCCACGGCGCCCTCTCGAAAACCGAAAACGAACAATTCACTAATCGACGTGTCACTGTTGGGGGTCCTGTCCACCCCCGAAACCAGGACGAGGATGAAAAAGCGGGCGAGGATGGATCGAGGTTCTCTGAGATCCGGCGGCTCTGGAGGCTGTCTCGGGCGCCGCGGCCTTCTCAGATGGCTCCGGAGCGCTCTCATCCTCCTCCCAGCCCCGTCCGACAGCCTGCCGCCCTGGCGCCCATGACGTCCTTCCCGATGTTGTCGCCGACCATCACCAGCTGCTCCGGCAGCAGCCTGGACTTGGCCTCGCACAGCGAGAACGTCCGCCTGTCGGGCTTCTCGGCGCCCGCCTCGACCGAGCTCACACAGAAGTCGACCACGTCCCTGAGCCCCTCGATGCAGCGCGGGTCTGCGTTCCCGTCGGTGAGCGTGCCGATCCGCGAAGACCGAAACACTGCAGCATGAGAAAGCATACGATTTCGGCGGTCGGCGCGGACTTCTTGGGTCGGCGCCGGCTGCGCCTTCCCCACGCCCGGCGAGACCTCCAGCGCCGCCCCCGGCGTACTCCGCGTGCCTCCGCGGGCGCTGAAGGAGCCGCCAGGTGTGGCTGGGAGGGGGTCCAGCGCCGACCCAAGGGATCCGTGCTGACCTCCGAAACTGATGTTCATTCAGTTTTAGGGTCTTCTAAATCAAGAGGCCAGACTCTCGCAAGGAGCGGAGGGCGTCCAGCGCGCCAGGGAAGAAGTCGGGGCTGTTCCGTTTTCGCATCCACGACCCCATCAATTCCTCCGCCACCGTTGCGCTACCCGTCAATCGTTCCAGGGTCTTTGTCCGAACGAAAGTGAAGTCGTGCTTCCGCTCGACGTTATCAGCCATGGTGGCCTTCATCTCGGCGATCCAACTCTCGAATACCAAGAACTTCTCCGCCAACTCTGGAAAGGCGCCTGCCATTTCAAGGCGCATCGCCTCCTGAGCAGCCGCCAGATTTTCCTTGCAGTTCCACAAGGTGTCGTCCAGGTCGAAGACGACACCGTGCACTTTGCCTATGGGCATGCCACCAAAACGCTGCCCATTCACGAGAGGCCGGGAGAAGTGCCTGATGCCATGTGGCAACACACTGGCGGACATCAACCTGAGCCACAATGATCATGGAACTTCACGGATAGGTCTCGCGGACAGGGGGCTGCTCAAAAGCACATCACGTCTGCTGTCATGCACTTAGAGGTCAAGGCCCTTTCCCCTTCCCTCCTCCCTTTTCCGTCCTCCCTCGTCCGCCTTCCCTCCTCCTTCTTCTCCTCCTCCGTCCACCCAGGAGAGCCCAGAATCGAATCGATAAGTCGCATCGGCGATCGAAATGAATCGGATCGGCGGAAATCGGCAACCAAGTCGGGAAGAGTTGAATCGGCGGAAATTGCAAGGCTAGTAGGACTCGGAGACGAAATCGGAGCCCAAATCGGAATCCGAAGCCGAATCGAATCGGAATCGGACGCCATCGAAGTCGAATCGAATCGAACCGGAGGAATCGAAACGAGCCCTGTCCTCCCTTGTCCCTCCCCTCCCCTCCCATCTATCCTCCTCCTAGGGGGCCGCATGCGAACCCTACCGCTACACCCCACGATTTCTGTGAAGCTCCCCTACCCTCCCCTTCAGAAATCGTGGGGGGGGGGGTAGGTTCGCATTGTGGCCCCCTATCTCTCCTCTTCTCCCTCCTCCTCTTGCCTCTCCTCCTCCTCCTCCTCCTCCTCCTCTCCTCCTGCTCCTCCTCCTCCTCCCCTCATCCTCCATCCTCCTCCTCCTCCTCCTCCCCTCCTCCTCTCTCCCTTCCTCCTCCTCCTCCTCCTCCTCCTCCTCCTCCTCCTCCTCCCTCCTCCTCCTCCTCCTCGCCGCAAGTCGCGCTCTCTCGCGCGGCCCGACGGCCGCCGAGGCGCGGTGCCCCCGGCCGTGCGGCGGCGCGCGCCGAACGTCGGGGAAGGCCCTTCGCGGGCACCCGGCCGGGCGGCGCCAAATCGGGCGGCGGATTGCGAGGAGCCACAACCACAGATGGCCCCTCCCGCCTCCTCCTCCTCCTCCTCCTCCGCCGCCTCCTCCTCCTCCTCCTCCTCCTCCTCCTCTTATTCCTCCTCCTCCACCTCCTCCTCCCTCCCTCCCCCTCCTCCTCCTCCTCCTCCTCCTCTTCCTCCTCCCCTCACCTCCTCTTCTTGCCTCCTCTCTCCTCCTCCTCCTCCTCCTCCTCCTCCTCCTCCTCCTCCTCCTCCTCCTCCTCCTCCTCCTCCCCCTCGCGATCCGTCTGGCCCCTATGGGCCGCCAGGCATAGCAGAAAACCGAAACCCCGACACAAACTGAATCCATAGTTTCTCTGATCAAGCTTCGACTCGGGCATGTCCTCCTATGGGCAGAGGAGTGTGGCGCAAAAAGAACCCAGTGCGGGCGATGAGAAAGCACAACCCCCTCCCCCCCTCTAGTTTTGATTATCCCTGCTCAGCAGGATTTAGTTGTGGATAGGAGAGCGGAAGCCGAACTTAATAATCCACCGGGGAAGTTGCGACTCGAAGTTTCTATCATCTCATGTTGACTAGCAGCAGACATCAAAAACGCTGAGCATGGCCATGGTGGTCTCACCAGATCAGATTCCGCAATCACGAGCGTGTGGCAGGGCTGTGGGATTCTCACCAGTTCAGTTTTCCCAAGTCATCATCATCATCACCATCACCATCACCATCATCATCATCATGATCATGATCATCATGATCATGATCATGATCATGGTCATGATCATGATCATCATCATCATCATCATCATCATCATCATCATCATCATCATCATCATCATCATCAGCATCAGCATCATCATCATCATCATCATCATCATCACCATAACCATCACCACCACCATCACGATCATCATCACGATCATCATCATCACCACCATCATCATCACTTCACCGTCTCCGGGAAAATCCTTGATTATCCCCGCCACCCCCCCGAACGTCATTATTCCCCGGGAATTATTATCGCCCGTGGTCGGATAATCAAGAAATCGTCCGGGAATTATTTTGGATTATTTTTGAATATTCCTCCTGTAGAGGGACGTGGCCGACTGAACCCAAGTTCTGGGTTTGGGGGGGTGCAGGTTCCTCGGGTGCTTAGTCCATGTTCCCCGACCCCCCCCGGCTGGAAGTGGAGTGTAAAGTTGGGCCTTCGGGTTGGGGTGGGGTGGTTTGGTGGGTGGTGAGTCCGTCTTCGTTGTCGTCGTCTCAGTCGTCGTCGTCGTCGTCGACAATCGGGAAACCGAGGATCCAGGTCTCTGGGCGTCGTATGGGCTGCTCCAGCCCCTCTCTGGCTGCATCGGGCCACTCAGGTCCCGCATCCGTTTTCCCGTGAGTCTGTGGGCGGTCTGGGGCTCGTTTTTGCCGCAAGTTTGCATGTGACGTGGGCCCCCGGGGATCCAGGCCTCGGAGAAAAATAGCGAACATTCATGCCACATCAATATGTGAACGCCTCCCCCTCACCCCAATGTTTAAAGTTGGCGGTGGGTCTGATGAAATGCACCTCGACCGCAGTCTCCCCCGGGGGGTGTTCACTAATTTTTTCCCTCTACCGTCTCGACCCCATTCCCCAGGGCCGATCCTGACCTTTCTCTTGACAGCCCTGGGCCGCCGCAAGATGGCCTCTGGAGGCCGAGATCGTGCGGAAACCTGCCGCCGCCATGTTCCCGCGCCGCCTGGGTCTCGGGGCTACGGTGACGGCAGTGGATAAAGAACCGTTGGATGGGGCACATTCCTGAAAGAACGCCCCCACTGTCTTCGGCGGCGAAGCATTCCCAGACGGCGCTGGCGCGAACAGCGACGTGGCGCTGGAGACGGCGGGGGGGGTCTGACCTGGCCCAGCAGATCGTTCAGGAGGGGTGAGGAGGGGCAACTTCGTTCAAGATTGGTCCCTGGACCCCTTTAAGACGATGCCAGAACGAGGATAACATCGGGTGGAGATATATCGAGAATCTTTATGATCTGTCGGCTGAGGATGTATCGGGCGCCGCGGCCTTCTCAGAGCGTTCCGGAACGTTATCATCCTCGTCCTATCCCCATCCGGCAGCCCGCCGCCTTGGCGCCCATGACGTCCTTCCCGATATTAAGACGAAGCAAGGACGAGGATAACATCGGATGAGTATGTATCGAGAATCTCTGAAGTCTGGTGGAGCTGGAGGATGTCTCGGGCGTTGCGGCCCTTTCAGAAGGTTCCAGAACGCTCTGAGAGCGTTCTGGACCGAGCTGGAGCAGACTGATCCTCGGCCTAGCTCCGTCCGATGGACCCCTCGGAGGAGAAGGGGAATGAGTGCGAGGAGTGGGAGGAGCGAGGAGGGAGGAGGAGGAGGAGGAGGAAAAGGAGGAGGACCAGGGTAAACTCAATCAACGATGTTGGAATACACCCTCCCTCCAAGCTCCCTCTTCATAGGCCCCTACAGCGGTTCATTCCCATTGAGGGATCTACCCTGGTGGAAGGCAACAGTTTGCAGAACCGGAAGCATGCCCAAACATCGTTCTCGGGATTGCAACACCACGGGTCAACCTGACTGTTGCGTCTTGACGATCCTGGATCGTGCCAGATTGCCATTCTTGGGATTTCAACACCGCGACTCAACGCAACGACCCTGCATCGACGCCAATCGACGCTAGGCGACGCCGAATAGGCGCGTTCTCGTCGACTACCAGGCACTGGGAGAGAGGGGGGAGAGAGGAGAGAGGGAGGAGAGAGGGAGGAGAGAGGATGAGAGAGGAGGAGGAGGAGGAGGAGGAGGAGGAGGAGGAGGCGGAGGAGGAGGAGGAGGAGGAAGATGGCCCACGCGAATGCACCCTAACACATGGAGCTACGAGGGCACGCGAGGCTCCCGTGATCCGCTGCCGAATGCGACCTGCTCAGAACGGGGTCCCCCGAGCTCTCCGACCCAAGGGCAGAGGAGGAGGAGGAGGAGGAGGAGGAGGTTCCTTTCCTTCCATTTTGGACGCCCGAAATGGGTACGGAATGAATGGGTACAATGCCCAACAACAAAAGGTGTCCTAAACCAACAGCGGCCCTGTTGGGCAGGCGGCCTTCTGTCTCGGATTGACACAGGCCGCGCGGCGTGGACATCGAGTCCGTTCAAAATGAACAAAACTGCTGTTGGCATTGTACCCATTCTTTCCGTACCCATTTCGGGCGTCCAGATCCATCACTATTCAGACAAAACGGAGGAGGATGAGGAGGAGGAGGAGGAGGAGGAGGAGGAGGAAGAGGAAGTGGGAAAGAAGCTTCCTTCCCTTCCCTTTGCCTCGCCCCCCCGGCCCCAGCGTTGGCCTCCAGGCTGGCCGCTGCGGGGCCCGGAGCGGGCCACCAGACGGCCAACCCGAGAAACAGCTGGCCGCCTCCTCCTCCTCCTGCTCCTCCTCCTCCTCCTTCTGCTCCTCCTCCTCCTCCTCCTCCTCCTCCTCCTCCTCCTCCTCCTCCCTCCTCCTCCTCCCTCCCTCCCTCCCTCCTCCCTCCCTCCCTCCCGCCCCCCACCCTCCCATCCTCAGTGCTCTCTGCGGGGAGGTTCTGGAAGCCCTCCTAGATGGGGTCCGAGTACGGTCGGCCTCGATTGGACGGGACACGCGAGAGGATAGAGGACCCTTCTGAGGGCCACATTGCCGTGGGGGATGTAGGATAGGGAGCCCATAAAGGACGTACGAACCCAGCTATGTACATGAACACGGCCCCTCGATTCGCGAGACCGGCCGCGTTATACGAACATTTGTGCCATGCGTGCTCTCGAAACCAGCGTGGATTCATGTACATGTACGTCCTTCTTTCGCTCCTGATAGGAGGCATGGGTCGCGAGGCACAGGACACAAGGGTACCTAAGGGTACCCTTGATTTGGCAAGGTCGACCTACTAATCAAGGCCGACTGTAGACGTGGTCGGAGGATCGCGCCGCCTCCCCGATGCTTCGGCGACGTCGGCGATGCATCGGCGCCATCCCTTGACCCCGCCCTACTGAAGGGGCCCAGGGACATACACAAAAATACACACACGTTAAAAGGATTCCCAATATTTTCCCATATTTTCTGGGTTTCTGTCTTCCCCCCCCCACTTCCCATATTTTCCAATATTTCCTGGGGAATCGACGATGAAC